CTCTTGTCTCAGTCTCCCAAGTGCGGGATTACAGGTGTGTGCCACTAAACCTGGCATCATCATGAGCTCTTACAAGGCACAGGGACTCTGACTAATGAGTTGGTGTTCAAATGTCTGGATGTTGAAGGTCAGGGACATTCCTATGGCCTTGTAAACATGAGGAAAGTATTATCACACTAGGCTGGTCTTTAATAGAAGGCGCAGACCAGGGGGCTAGAGAAGTCACTCAGAGGTTAAGAGCACTTGCTGTTATTCCAAAGGACTTGGGTTCAATTCCTAGAAACCACATGGTAGCTCTCTAGCCCTCTTCTGGACTCCACATGTACTGCAACACAAACTAGGTAAACTTACTTGCAACTAGAACACTTGTGCAAATAAAAATAAATAAATCATTAAGAAAGAGGGTACAGACATGCCACTCTTTAAGTTTAGATTGTGAGTCTGAGCCTTTAATGGCTAAGCCATCCCTCTAGCCATATTTCTTGATGTTTTTTCATAAAATAGATAAAATTTTCCCTGCTGTAAACATCAGTTTAAAATGATGAATCAGAACTGCTCCTGCTACACAGGAGCTCTGCTTGCTTTCTCTTAAGCTCCTACTTATGGACCTAGAATAAACTGTCTAAAAAAAAAGACTCATCAGTTCCAGTCGATAGAAATATAATATGAACTACAAATGTAATTTCAAATTCTTCTAGTGGCCACATTTAAGAAGCTAAAAAATATAGGTGGAATTAATGTCTAATAATCTTTTTTAAAGGGCTGGAGAGATGGCTCAATGGTTAAGAATACTGGCTGCTAGGGTTGGAGAGATGGCTCAGTGGTTAAGAACACTGACTGTTCTTGCAGAAGACTCAAGTTTGAATCCCAACACCCACACCAACACCCACATGGCAGCTAACAACTGTCCATAACTCCAGTTCCAGGGGATCTGACAGCCTCTTATGTCCTCTGCGGGCATTGTACAACACAGGTGTACTTACCTACATGCAGGCAATACACACATACACATAAAATAAAAATAATAAATTTTAAAAAATACTGGATGTTCTTGCGGAGGACCTGGGTTTGGTTCCTAGCACTTACATGGTGTCTAACAAGTGTCCTTAACTCATTTTACAGGAGAATCCAACACCTTCCAACACCCTCTTCTGACTTCCGAGGGCATTGCCCAACATGGGTGCACTTATACACATGCAGGCAATACACTCATACATATAAAAATAAAAATAATAATGGTCGGGCATTGTGGTGCACGCCCGTAGTCCCAGCACTTGGGAGGCAGAGGCAGGCAGATCTCT